CCTGGCCATGTGAACAGCCCATTTCAAAGTCTTAACCAATCTGAGCGCATAAGAATAGATAAGATAAGTCTCAGGTTGGGCTCAGCCAACCTGATTGCAGACAATGGTTTATCAAAAAGCTGCAGCCTTTTTCTGCCCTGCAGCTTGCTGTTCAGATATGCCCTATGATTGCCAAGTCAAGTGCCAGCCTTGCCATTAACACACACACACACACACACACACACACACACACACACACACACACACACGAACATCTTTTTTTATTTTATTTTTTTCCTATCCCATGATTTGAAAGAGAGGGCAGACTGGAAAGAGCTAGGTATGTGGCAATTCCATCCTCAGCTTCCTTACTGGCTCTGACAATTTCGTGTTCCCAACTTAGCTCTTTCTAAGTCTATTTTTCAAAAGGCAGCTGTCTGTTCAGCTCTGCTGCTTACTCCCTGTGTGGCCTTAATCAAGTCACATCACTTCTCTGGGCCTCAGTTTCCTCATCTGGAAAATGAAGGGATTGGGTCAGCTGATCTCTAAGTCTCCTTTGAGCTTTAGACCGATGAAGCTGGAGAATTGGGCTCCAAAGCAGCTGTTGTACCTGTCTCCTGGAAAGTCTTCCTTTGTAAAGAGATACAAAATGTTTGCTTGCTAAACTCTCTTGACTGTACCTGTAAATCTGCCCAATAATTTATCCCAGGCCTAAATAGAGAATCGCAAAACTATAGAATCCCAGCATTAGAAGGCCTCAGTGGGGGAATTGTGAAGTAGGTCATATGAGGAAACATCACCCACTTCACAGTTCTGCCTCAGGGCAAGTCTGAATAGAACCTGAAAACATTTGTCTCTGCTGTTGCTTCCCTTTTCTTTTTTCTCTGGCCTCTCTTGATGCTTCTGATATCCCTCTCCTCTGCTCAGCTTCTTTCTGCCTACTGCTCAGACCAGGGTCTCTACCTCCAAAACTCTTCTAGCCACATCCTACACAGACACACACACACACACACACCACACACACACACACACACACACACACACTACCTGCATAGCAATTATTTCTCAAAAAAACATTCTGGAATTATGTTGATAATAATATATTCGGTGCCATCATTGATAAAGAAATAGGGAAACAATTCAGATCCTACCTTTGACACTTTCTAGCCAAGTGACCCTAGGCAAGTCACTTAAACTCCCTCAACCTCAATTTCCTCTTCTGGAAAATGGGACTAATTGAAACTACCATGAAGGATTGTTGTGAAGATCAAATGGCATACCTTATGTAAGGTGCTTTGAAAACCTTAAAATGGTATATGAATGCTAGCTATTATAGTAATAATTGGTATTGTTCACGATGTTGCTATTGTTACCCTTCCCAAGTATTCGCATTTTTTAGGTGTAATATAATTGTACATGTATGGCTTATATCAGATTGCATACCATCTTGGGGAGGGGGGAGGGAAAGAAGAGAGGGGGGAAATTTTAGAACTCAAAATCTTATAAAAGTGCATGTTGAAAATTAAAAATACTTTTTTTAAAAAAGATAAAAAAAAACCCCAAGTATTCACATTTTAACAATGCATTAAACCAACAATACTAGTAGCCCACTTAAGAACTGGGCTTTTGCAATTTGATTCAATTCAATTAAAAAATATTTGCTAAACACCAGTTAAGTACAAAGAATTCATTGGGGCAGCTTGAGATACAAAGACTGATGAGAGAGACAGAGACAGAGAGATAATGGAATGAAGGATATACAAATCACTATAAACAAGAGAAGGGAGAATTTTTAAAAGAGATCCAGGTAAAGTGCTAAGTGAATTTTGAAGGAGAGTTTGCTTTCAAGGGCTAGGGGTGAGAGTGAGGACAAAGTGGGGAGTCATTAAAGGCTTCATGGGGGAGATGGCACTCAAGTTGGTTGTTGAAGTAAGGAGAGGAATAGGCACAGATGGAGATTTGGATAAAATGGAGGTTCTGTTCCAGGAGGGGGTATGGTATCAGCAAAGATATTAGGATAGGAAAGGGCAGGATGAATAGGGGACGGAAAATAGAAGAACTATTCCATTTGGCTAAATGAAGGACTATGAAATAAACATCAGCTGGATTGGCTCCAGATTGTGGAAGGGATTGAATCCCTAATTCGTGAATTTAGGTTTAATCCAGTAAGCACGAGAGCCACCGAACTTTTAGAGTACAGTGATATAATCCTAGTGATGAGTTGGAACACAGTAAGTAGGCTTCACATACGCTCCTCAAATTCAGTTTGTCCAAACTCGAACTTATTAGTCTTCTCCCTAAACCCATTGTTCATTCCAACTGGCCTATTTCTGTCATGGATACAGCCAGCTGGGACTGCAGTCTCTAAGTCATTCTTGACTCTTCACTCCCACTCAACCACCATGTGTGCTCACTTGCCAAGTCTTGTCAATGCTACCTCCCCCTCCTCGTCTCTCACATCCCTCTCCTTCTGTCTCCTCATACCACAGCCATCTTCAGGCAGGCCTCATCCCCTTCACCTCCAATAACCTCCTGATTGGTCTGCCAGCATCCAGTCTCTCTCCTTTTCAATCTGTCCTCCAGAGCCGCCAAACTGATATTTCAAAAGCACAGATCTGACCATGTCATGTACCTGCTCCAGAACTGCCATTGTCTCCTTTTTGCCTTCAGGATAAAACACAAGTGTTTGCCATTTAAAGCCCTTCCCAGACTAGCTTCAGCCTGCTTTTTCAGGCTGCTTTATCATTCCCCCTCACTTCCTCTATGTTTTCGCCAAACTGCCCTACTACAAACAACGCTGCCTTCATGTCTTTGCACAGGCTGTTCCCTGTGCCTAGAATGTTCCCTTTCCTCGGGTCTACCTCTTGGAAGTCTATGTCCCTTCATCCCTCAGCTCAGATGCAACATGAGAGGCCTTTTCTGATTCCCTTGGTTATAAGACGATCCAATCCTGAAAATCACATTGAAATAATTCATCTGTCAGCATGTTGTATCCTCTTCCCCTATTGTCCCCTATACAATATAAGCTCCAGGAGGGCAGTAATTGTCTCATTTTTGTATTTATGTCCTAAGAATTCATTCTACAGTTTAGCTCCTCAGGGGCATGACTATTCCACAACTGGTTTCACATGCCAGATCTAGTAGAGGCTCTGGCGCCTAGAAGGCGCTAAATAAATGCTTGCCGAACTGAATTATTGAGGATGAAAGGGAATCCAGACTCAGACCCGGCTATTCTCAGTTTAAGTCCTCTTTCTATTGTGCCACATTAAGTTACTGGCATGGTGGGCATCTCTGGCAAGTCAGAGTTAGAGGGACAAGTAGCGTTTCAAACAAATCACACCACAGATAGCCATCTACTTGGCTGTAGGGTCATCTCTTACTATTAATCAGTTAATAAATATTTATTAAGCACCTACTATATGCTAGGCACTGTGCTAAGCACTGGATATAGAAAAGACAGTCCCTGCCCTATTGATACCACTCAACATTAGCCTTAAATTCACTCCACCTCTGCCATTTATTACCAGTATCATCTTGGATGAGTTGTTTTGCCTCTCTGGGCAGCAGTTCCTCACCTGTAAAATGAGAGGATTGGACAAGATCTCCTCTGGGGTTCCTTTCAGCCCTAGATATACGGTCCTATGACCTCTCTGGGGTTCCATATTCCCATCAGCAAAATGAGGAAATAACATTTGTCATTGTATCATAATTGTAAATCCTGAGGTCATTGCTTTAATTTTTTTTTCACAAATTGCAAGTTAAGGAGAATATTTGTCTGGCTATATGATCCCAAAGAGAACTCTTAGCAAAGGTGGGACTATATTGTCCTGGGGAGAAGCCTGGGGAAACTATTTTATCCATAGTAATGCTGTCAAGAGTTCTGGACTGGAGGCACCTTAGCATAGTGAAAAAAAGAACTGGACTAGAGTCCCAATGACTGGGATTCCAGTCCTACTTTTACCATTATGTGACCTTGGACCAAATCAAGACAACAGTCTCCTCATCTACTAAATTAGAGGTTGGACAGATGTTACCTGGTTGAAAAGTCATATGATTTATAGTTTCTGTTTAACCCCAGTGCCTTTCCCAAAACAAACTTTAAGATTCATCCAAAATTTAGTAGGAGTAGCCTACTATAACAGAATAAGTGTTGTTTTTGCATTTTATTGAGAAATCTCACCAGAAAGGCCAAAGGAATGAGGGTACCTTGTAGTCACCTGGTACCAGTTCCTGAGGGACAATTGCTACTTGGAATTAAGTGAATTCTATAAATCAGGGCTTGATTTATTGCTTTGTTGATTGTCTAGACTTAAGAAAATGATGGGGAAAATGTTAACAACATTAAATTTAAAAGTAGGTTTTGCATACTTTTTTTCTATACAGCTAGTTATGAAACATATACCAGCATACCTCTACCAAATCTGAGCTTTAAAATGAACTTCAAATCTAAAATTTTCTTAATTTGGGCTGAATAACTATTTGTCTGCACAGCCTCTGAAAGCAAAATGAAGGAATTTTAGAGGCCCTCTCTGCAATGGTAATTTATTCTGTAGATCAATAAAGAACTTGAAATCTCCTGGGTTCTCAATCCATGTGGTCTTTCTGGGGACAACTGGCTAATTGAACTCAATTTCTAATATTTGTCTAACCAGGCCACATTACTGATTAGAGCTAAACAGTTTTTGTGTTCTTTTAAATCTAATCATTATTTGAAACTAAACATTATATAATTATAATGCTCAAGATTGGACCTGGAGAAGAAATGATAAAAGTGCACCTTTCTCTCTTCTTTGTAAAGGTGGAGGATTGTGGTTGTGGAATATTGGTCATGGCGGATGACTGGATGGACTGATTAGATGTTTTTTTCTTTCTTTTTTTAGTCTTTGTTATCTAAGATGGCTTGCTGGGAAGGGGAGAGGAAGGATAGATTCAGAAGTAAAGGTTATATGGAAACAATAGGCATTAATAAAAGGAATATAAAGATGAAAATCTTAATGTTTGTAATTTTTTATATCTTTCAGGGATCCTTTTCACAATGTTGGTGTTTGGACCAGCCTGTGGATTCATCCTAGGCTCCTTCTGTACCAAAATTTATGTGGATGCTGTCTTCATTGACACAAGTAAGGAAAATGTCTTTCCTCTGAATTTCAAGTAGAAAGCAGTTCCATCCATCTACAGACACCTCTCCACATATGATAGTCTTTGATCTCAAATGTGATCATTTGTATATTTCAAATTTTGTATGTTTCATCTTGAACTTAAAACCAATCTTTGAAATAAGAGGATTCCCCAAGTTCAGCCATGAAGTCCTCTTCTTTTACTTTTGCTACAAAAAGTCTTTCTCTTCTTCTCATGCCTTTATGTAGGCAGCCACTGGATGCAAATCAATAATCAGTTCTGGTTTAGTGATATGACTATGTAATACGTATTCGTAGATTTACATGTTACCCAGCATTGAGGACTTGACCATTATGAGGTATAATAGTACATTTTTATTGCCTTCTTCAGCTCTTTGGGTGACTTAGAAGATACTATTTCAGATTTTTTGAAACTATTGACTTTTTTCTTTAGGGTCCTAGCATACACGGGAGGATTATTTTGGGACAGGGGGAAACCACAGTGAAGGAGCTAAATTCTTTCACATTTCTAGCTCTAGTTTCATTGCTACTACACCAAGTAAGTAATGAGTGTTTCAAAAGCTTTTCATTAGGCATTTAATAGGTAGATCTCAGGATCATTCCAACCAAAACCCTTTATCCTGGTAGTCTCAACCAAAGGTGATTTCCAGATTTAAAATTCCCTTACTCTATGGTGAATGAGTGTTTCTTCTTCTTTCATCATTAGAATCTCTGAAAAAAATGAGAGAAGCTTTTGCAGATGCTTTCTGCTAATATCAATCTATCCTGCAGAAAAGATCAATAAAGAACTCCTGGGTTCTTGATCCATCATCTTTTCAACAGGACTAAATTGACTAATTCCACCAAAAAGAAGCAAGCATGATTTTAAATCCAATCAAGTCACTCTCTGATTCATTCCATTAATCCCATGGCTATATTTATTTAGAGTTAATGATGTTCCAAATTTCTGAGTTGAAAAAAGTCATGTTCATCATTCTTTATTTATTTAAAGTTCACATATCTGTTACCAGGTGATCGAATGAGGTTGTTTTCCAATAGGTGCCCAACACATTTAACCCTATTTATAGTTAATCAGGAAGAAAAATAAATAATCAGAATTAAAGCTAATGCCTTTATTAGTGATCAAACACATACAATCAGGGTAGAAGGAGCCTTAGAGGTCATCTATAGAGTCCAAGCTTTTCCATTTACAAACAAGGCCCAAAGAAGTTAAAGCCACAAATACAGTAATACAGAATAAGAATCCAAATTCATATCCTCTGACCTCCAAGACTGCTTTCTACTGTTCCACAGGGCTTCATGGAGAAAGACTGTTTTAAATATCTAAAAATATTCACACCACCTCAAAGGGAGCAGTGGGGTAAGGGTAATGATGAGAAAAAAAAAGAGCAATAGGGAAATAAAGGACTTTCAGAGAAGAGGTCTCAAATAAAGGAAGAAACCCTTTTTGCCTGTTTAAACATAAATAATAACTCCACTGAATCAAAACCACAAAGCGGCAATGAATCCTAGAATCATAGAGCTGGAAGAGACCTTAGGTACCATCTGGTCCAACTTCATCATTTTACAGATGGAGAAACTGAGGCACAGAGTTTTTTATTTGTCAGTTTTTATTTTGTCTCTGGCCTAAAGCTACCAAACTAGTCAGAGGTGGAGCTAGGCCAGGTTTCCTGGCTCCCAGTCTTAGTTTCATTAAATTACACTGCACCACCTTTCTAGTGCCTCTGCCTGAAGAAGGAGTAGAACAAACCATTGATTCCTGTGGCAATATGTTTGCTTCTGAGATATGAATGTAGATCTGGGTTTTCAGTATTATGGGTGTGACTACAAAGGTTGGTTACCACTATCTGCCAGTAGAGGGCAAAAGAAAATAATGTATTCTCTGGTATATAGTTGTAGCATCCTTTGAGTTCCAGCAATTCATTTCTTTGTGACTCACTGCAAATTTGTTTTCTGTCTCCCAGTAAATGTTGGCTATATTTTTGTGAGTTTTCTCAACTCCTGTCCTGATGCCACCACACCCTTTGTTTTTTCCCCCAGGGGGTAGTCAACAGATATGTTTCCTATAAGATGAAAAATATGAGAGTTGTGGAGCTGTAACTGCAGAGGTTTATTTTATAACATTTCCTTAAAAACAAGGTTTGCAGAGGGTGGGGTCAGATGAGGAAGATTTGGGGAATTAGGTGCTCCTAAGTATAATCTATAAATTTTTAAGATAATTATGGATTTGCTTTGGTGATCACTTCTACAAGTATTGATACTAAATAATATAGATGGCATTGTTGTTAGAATAGACAATAATAATAATGACATCATCACCGTTATTTTCATTCTCTTGAGCTAAAAGCTATCTGGGCCTAATACATCTTCTTGAATTTGATTAGCCAGAAGGCTGCATTTCCACCACCACCCCCTTTGCCTTGGTGACCTCTCCCCTTCATCATGTCCATGCAGAATTGTAATGTGTTCAACCTGGCCTGGCACATAAGGATGCCTGAAATCGGCAGCTGGCACAAATATGGTTGACTATTTGCTGAGTAAAGAAGGTCACTGAGATCATCTCCTCCCTTTCTTCCCCTCCCAGGAGTGGCTAGTGCTGCAGAATTTGCTTTTCTTGGATGAATTAATTTAGCAATCAGGATCTTGAACTTATCTCCCTTCCTCCTCCTCTTTTTTCCCTCCCCAAAATAAGAAAATTTAGTTTTCTATTTAGGTTTGTAATCTAGTTTTTAAAAAATCTTATATCCCATAGCAAATGTATTGCCAAGCTCATTAGACAAATAGGTAAATGACCTGGAGGAAAAAAAAAAATTACCTGGAGAGTTTTCTGTATCATTCACACTCTAGTTCAATTTGATGACTAAATTCATCAATGAGAAAGCAAGGAAGCAAATGTTCCCAATTCACCTGCCATCTGCCCTTCTCACATAGACTCTCAAGTCTCCAGATTGGTTGTTTGGTTGATGGAGGTTAAATTGGATACATTGCAGTTCTTAGTTTTATTTTGCTTTTTCAAGTCCAAAAAACTGAAGCCTCCTAGTGCTAGTAGGTGAGTGAAAACATCACACAAATCCATAGAAAACAAAGCCAACTCAATTAAATTTAATAAGCATTTATTAAGTGCCCACTATGCTGTGAAGAACTAATGACAAAAATGAATGATCCATTCAGTTCAAGGAGTTTATGTTCTAGTAGGATGAACAACATACATACAGCTAGGTAAATACAAAGTAATTTCTAAGCACAGAGTTGCTAACCAACTGGAGTGGAGGATCAGAAGGAGTTTCATGTAGATCTGAGCCTTGAAGGGAGCTCGAGATTCCAAAAGGCAGAGGTGAGGATAAGAAGAATTCTTGGCAGAGAGAACAGCCTAGGCAAAGGCCTGTATGCACTCAATGGAATGCCATTTACAGGGAACAGCTAATAAGCAATTTGGGCTAGAACATGCAATGTGTGAGGTGGAGTAATGTGAAAACAGCCACAGTCTTGAAACATAAGCTACAACCAGCTTGTGAAGGTGCCAAAGGAGTTTTTATTGTATTTTCATCGTTGTTGTTGTTGTTGTTGTTCAGTTGTGTCCGACTCTTTGTGACCCCATTTGGGGCTTTCTTGGTAGAGATACTGGAGTAATTTGCCATTTTCCTTCTCCAGCTCATTTTATAGATGAGGAAACTGAGGCAAACAGGGTGAAGTGACTTGCCCAGGGTTACACAGTTAGTAAGTGTCTGAGGCTGGTTTCAAACTCAGGTCCTTCTGACTCCAGACCCAGCATTCTATCCAACTGGGCCACTAGCTGCCCTTTTATCTTATCCTAGAGGCAATAGGGGCCTCTGAAGTTTCCTGAGCAGGGGAGTGGCATGATCAGACCTATGCTAAGAATATCATTTTCACAGCTTTGTGACAGGTGCATTGGAGTGTGGCAAGATTGGAAACAGAGAAAACAATTAGGCTCTTAATTAGTCTCAGCAAGAACTAGATGGTGTCCATATGAGTAAATAGACTACAGATTCAAGAGATGTTGTAAAGACAGAATAAAAAAGATTTGGCCACTGATGACATATGGGTAGTTATTATAAGTGAAGAATCAAGGATGACTCTGAGCTTAGGAACCTTGATGACAGGAAGGGTGGGCATGCCCTCAAGAAAAATAAAGAAATTATGAGGGAGTATAGTTTAGGGGAAAAGATATTGAGGTCTGGTCTGGACATGCTAAGTGAAGAGATGATAGGGCAGTTACATGGACATGTCTACTAGGCAGTTAGCAATTCAGGACCAGAGCTCAAGAGAGAGATGAAGGTTAGTTATAGAATTGTGAGTCTTGTGTGTATTCTCCAAGAAGAAACCAAAAGATTTAGCTAACCTAAATCCAAAAGAAAACATCTGAGAGAAACCATTCTAAATCTGTAATAACTAAGAAAAGGAAGCTTCCACCTCAATAGAGACAAAAAAAAATAGATACGATGCTAAAATGGGGAAGGACATAAGCAGCAAACTTTTTCTAGAATGATAACGTAGGAAGGGGGCTCAGAGATCATCTAGCTAAGCTTCTCTCTTATGTAGATGAACAAATATGGCCCACAGGGGTGAAGTGATTTGTCCAACATTGTACAGTGTCCTCAAAACTCTTAGTGCTCATTTTAAGCTATTAAAACTTAAAATATATTAAAACTCTGCTAAGATTTTCTGGGTCATCTTGGACACATAGTTAGTGGCTGGCTATCCTGGTCCACGAAGCCAGCAACCATGTATCATCTTAACCTTGTGCTTCACTCGCTTCACAGAACAGCAAATATCTTACACACAGTGGGTGCTTAATAAATGTGCGTTGAATTGAACTAAAATCGGGACTTGACCCCAGGTCTTCTAATTCTCACTGCTCTGCCACTACTCAAAAGGCCCTCTCTCCATAAACCCTCTGGATCGCAAATGTTCCATAGAGTGGGGAAGGGGCAGAGAATAAAGATTTCTATGCCCCTTCATGA